AAAAAAAAAAAAAAAAAAAAAAAAAAAAAAAAAAAAACCTAAACACCAAACAAAAAAAAACTGTGATTAAATTGTAACACAACATCTCATCATTAATTTGAATTTCGATAAAAGTGGACAACATTGAATATTTTATAATTGCAACCACATAGCCTTTAATACCGATCACTTGAGATATAAATCTAAAATGTGAATTTAATTATAAAGAAGCATATTCGTTACTACTACACAAAAAAAAATACCCCACAATCAATATAAACGACTTTCATAATGATAAACCGATATTATCATTTCGTAAATGTACTAAAAGCCAAAAGAGAATGCCAATCCATTTATTACAATCAATTCGTTATATTAATAACCGATTATTAATATCAATTCTAGGTGGGTAAAATCTCAAAAAAAATACAATAAATACGAATAATTCACTTTTTCCCATTAAATGAATAAAAATAAGTCAAGCTCCCCCATTTCATTCTTTAACACGGGTGCGTGTGTCCTTTGCCCCTTAGAAGGTTCTCACGCATGAAAAGGAAGCAAAGAACACAACCACATAGAGTTCTATCGACCTCGTTGAGGTAGGTCCTGACCTCCAGGGAAACTCCCCCGACTTTTCTTATCCCACTTTGAGGGATGAATTTCAAGGCCAGTTTAGTCATTTTCGCGTCGGTTCGACAAGTGCGTGACGTACCATTGTGGAATCGTACTCCCGGGTCAGTTTTTCTATATCAGGTTGTTCTTTTTCTTTCGCCGTTTTTTTCTTCTTTTTTTTTACATTCTCAGCATCCATAAAAATTGACTCGATCTAAAAGAGGGTCTCGGGAATTGATATTAAATGGATTAACAATCTACTAACTATTTTCGAATAAAATTCCTATTCTAGATACTTAAAAAAAAAAAAAAAAAAAAAAAAAAAAAAAAAAAAATAAAAAAAAAATAAAAACGTAACCTACAATTCTACACAAATATCAAAGAAAACAATGGCGTAATCTAGTCACCTACTCCATAAAATCTTGCTATACAATATACGCACAGTTTTAATGACTATGTAAATATATAGTTAATTAAAAGAAAAAAGAAGAAGAAGAAGAAGAAGAAGAAGAAAAAAGAAATAATCAAAGAAAAACAAAACCACAGAATTTTTCATTAGGAATTTCAATTATGAACAAAGGTGATTTCCAAATTGAATATCCGTAGTAGATCCATTATCTACACAACAAGTAAGATTATGACGCGATTCGTTCAAAACTTAATATAATTTAACTAATCTGACTACTCCTTTGCTCTGTAATAGAATTTCTGCGACTCACCTTGACTTACCACCATAAAGGTCTTTGTCTTTTGAAGCAAAGTTATTCAAGTGTAACGTACGAGAGTTAAGGCGGCGTGAATCAGTAGAAGCCAAGGTTCTAAAATACTTGAAGATAAAGTATATCCAAGCTCTACATTTCAGTCAAATTTAGCTGCGTCACATTTACATACATTTTTTCTTAATTATAATGGCTAATTACATTTGTTATGCTTTTTGTCGAACACCTCTTCTGTTGTATATTAAATTGGAACTATAAAGACGAGTACAAAAGATTTAGCTAACATTATGTATTGCGCATTGAAGAGTAATTAGAATGAACGCTTAATAATGAAAAAAGGCAAAAAAAAAAAACTTTTTCTTGCAACGTCATATATACGCATGACAATGTACGGCTGCTAGTCGTGCGGACATTCAACATTAAGAAATGGAAAAAATAGATCAAAACCAATGGTATTTTATTTGTCTCGTATGGAATTAGTTTACCTATTGATAAGCATTAAATATTATAATAATGCACCAATTAATTATATTTGATATTTTTCAATTCCTTAAATGACAGACACACGACATTGCTTTGTAAATAAAAGCCTCAATTACGAAAAGTGATCCAAAGATTAGCCCTTACCAACGATTATATTACCCACGAGCCTGTATAGACGACGCGCCACTAAATAAGATCAAGAAAAAATTTAATATAAATACTGCCACTGGTACTGTATGTTCCTTCGCTCGATCCTCTTTTGATTTACCAGAGGACAATTATGTGTGATGTGTGCTATTCATTTATTGATTTTTCAGTCATACCGAATGCATACTTACGTTCCACAACTTTACGCACGTCTATACATTAGTTGTATAAAATATTTTCTCCAATTAATGAATTCTCCAATAAAGAACGTTTTCATAATTTATTTATAGTCATGATACATTCGTTATAAAACTGCATCATCGTTACTGTTCACCATCCATGACTTCTTGCTTAATAGGAAATTTTTCAACTTTAGTCGTTATTCGATGTTGATGAGTGGCTCATCAACTCTTTTGGACTGCTTCAGGTAATCTAATCATCAAGTAATGAACAATCGCGACCAATCGTTACTCCGAACCATGTTCAACGACTGATTAATGCTGGCGTTAGTTTTGCATGACATACAGCACACTATAAACAGATAATACTTTCGTCAATTCGGATAAGGTTGTTTGTGATGCAATTATTACACCGAATGAAAATAACGCTGATAGTACGACTGTTTTTTTTTTTTTTTTTTTTCATCATCTTCGTAATCTTCGGAACACGAGTATGTTGAGAGAATAGACTTTAGGCCAAGTTTGCCTTTCTGGTTATCTCAGATGGTATAACGTCTTCATCTTTCCCGTCAGACGCTCCAAACACGAAGAAACATCGATCGTTAAGGCCGGGTATAATAATAATCTTCAAGCGATACCTGTACCTTAAGCGAACTAATATTCACTCAGCAGATTTCTAGGATCCAACGATGTGGGCGCGCGCGTTTATGGTATATATGCCAATAAATTCCTAGTTGGAACGGCTTGAGTCTGCACGATATATCTTGATGGAGCAGGCAGGAGGAGCCGACGGCTCTGCACCTATCCAGGTATATTTTGCATTCTTGTTACGTATGGAGTGACGTTCGTTTAATCTAGATGATGGAATTCACACATAATTACGCAAAATGCACCAGCGAGGACATTCACTGTACATCCATCAAATTCTACTTGGCACGCTAATTGCAGTACAACTGCTTAAGGTATATTGATTCGGGGATCGTGTCAGCTGATGGTAGGATATTCGTAGTAATTAATAATAAATACGCAGCAATTGGTGCTGGTACGATCATTTCGCGAGGGACGTAATTGCTGATCTTCATTTTGCCATCGCTGTTCTTAATTGACATTTCGCGGCAATGACAAGCATCCAAGCCTTTAAGACGATAGTCATAGTGTGCAGTCATACGCGCAATATGGCATCTCCTTTGATGGACGAGGCGCACGTTCTCTTAAATTGGTAGCATGCTACATCGCACAATTGGGAAAAGCTTGAATACTCCATACTTTGACGACACCTCTTAATCAACTGTCTCGATCCTCGCATGATATTGTATAATGGATAGTCTTTCAAGGGTGTGTTCTTAGTCGACTTAAATATGTCAGACGTGATCTGTCTATGACGGCAGACAGACTGACGTCAATAGATTTTGATGTGGGTGGTACTGATTCCCATGTGAGAGTACGCTGCCGATTGTGACTGAAACGAGTGTGCAGGAGTTTTTTCGAGTCGCTAGCGATATCATCACCTGAGCATACCTCGATCCATCCACAAGGTCGAACGCACTTTTTGTCATTGATGTGCTGTACCGAGCAGCGACTCATCGTAATTTAGTTTTCAGTCGACTCCAATGCTCAAGATGTTTCTCTTGTACGATTGAATATCGTAAGGCTTATTGGATTAATTAGTTTCCACTGTGTTGTGCTAGTAATATGTCATTTCTAACGATAAGACGAAATTAATTGCAAAATTTATGAGGTCGATTAATGTAGTCATTTAATGCTTAACTTTGAAAAACCTTTGATATTCCATATATATTATAATTAAGGAATTACTTGTATTAATTTGACTGCTGCAAATACTTCAAAGCACTTTTTTGCTTTTTATGCGTCTGAGCTGAGCTGACGAATTGGATATAAAATATCGTGACTTTTTAAATTTAGCCAAGGTTTGTCTTTTTTTTTATTTTTTTTTTTTTTTTATTTTTTTTTTTTTATTATTTTTGTATATGGAACAATTATTAATGCTCAATTTCATTTTTCAGGCTTATAATTGCATTGTTATGTATGTAATTATTAGAGCAGATTAAATTTAATATAAAATTAATGAAGTAAAATAAAAAGTATTAGTGAGAATATTCTATTGATAGCGATTATTATGAATACATTTCTAAATGATCTACAAATATTTCAATTCGAATATTATAAAAAATTTGCTGCATTTACAAGTAGTCGTTACTACGTATAATCATGTAATTTTGAAGAATCATTAATTCAAACATAGAATTTTTTATTATAAATTGAAACTATTTGTGTTGTATAATCGGGCCAAACGCATCTCGATCTCGATATTATTGTGACAGGTCATTGAAGAAAATTATCCGTGTTATGTGAAATTCATGCAAGGTAAGTTACACATTGCGTGTCTTGTGATACGTAAAAGTTATGGATGAAAGGGGTCAATCGGCTTAACGATCATAATAAAATAGATAATATACCTTAATGTGATAGGAATTTAGTTTTGTTCTCGGTAGACTGTTGAATGCGCTAAAGTCCAGTCGTCGTGAAAAAATACCATTCGCTCCGCAGCTTTGTCTGCAATCAGAAAAATCAAACAATAATACTTCATCATGTAAACAGAAAATTTCATGCAATACATTTAAACAGATATGTTTATTAATGTAATTCAAGATAATACGGACAAATAAAAGTTAATGATCAAAATAACAAATTACATAATTATATAATAGTAGTAATGGCAATGTTAGCTATAATCGGTTTCAAAAATTAAATAATCTGTAAGCTTACGACGAACAGAGGATGACAGGGAAAAAATTATCCGTATCTCTTAAATAATGTTTTTTCTAAACTTCATAATGTTTGGTTATAATTCTGTTGTAATAGTATTATGACGTCAAAATTTAATACCTTGTCGTATCTGAATTGGGATTTTGGAAAGTTAAAATGACGCATAACTGCGTCACGAGCCGGGATATTCGCATTTATATCTTATTCATACTTTTTATTCGTATATATATTTATATCGCGTAGTTTTAAATAATTTAAAATGATTGATAATATAAATTCGGATACATAGATTGTATTGCTTGCCAAAAGAGAAAAAGAAAATAAAAATAAAAAGAACCTCATCGACCGAAATACATTTAGATTCTCAAGGGATCGAAATACCAAATGATGGGTGGACAGCATTTTAAGTATTGATGTATTCCAAATTGCTGAGGGTTAGGAAGTGTCAGGTCCACAGGCCGCTGTGCACTAGACTCGTGCAGAAAATGATGCGCGAGCTTTGTTACTTTCAAGGGGACCGAAATTGAAACGTCATCGCCATATGACGTGTGCCATTCAAATGTCGAACTAAGTTGCGAGGATGAGACGGAGGGAAATAAGAGGAGGGCAAATCTTCCACTCGTGCGGTCTCGCAACGACTTTTATTCGCGAACGGCGAATCTCTACCTCTCTCCTTTCGATTTGCAACCTTTTAGCCCGTGAATGATACAAAGGAAAGAAAAAAGGGGAAATAAAATGAACCTGGTTTGGCTATGGTTATGGAATTAATAATGGAGGAATTTTTTTTTTTTTTTCTTATACCTCAAATTTATACGTTGCCAAATAGGCAAAATCAAGCTTGTAATGTCTCGATAGAAAAAGCCTCTTAAACAGATATCTCCCGTATGTGAAATTCGAGATAATTGTGATGTATCCAAGCTTAAGGATGGAATATCGCTTTATGCCTCAGGGTGACCTGGATCCAACTCATTTCGCATGGACAATCCGAATAATCCACTCTCAAGTGTTATTTGCCTTTGAGCGAATTCTGTTGCAAATCTTTATCTACAAGCATTTCTTTTGTATTAAATAATGACATTCGTACGAAGCTTATTAATTCGTGCCGTACCTCTTGGAATAACACTTCAAAGTTTTTAACGATTTTAACATTATGAATTACGACATTTAACAATGAGTCCTTTTTTTTATTTTTTTTATTTTTTATTAGCAGTGATGTGCGTCTTAGTATCGATGGGATTTGTTTTTTTTTTTGTTTTTTTTTGTTTGTTTTTTTCTTTGTTTTCAGCCAACCAATGAAGAGCCACCAGTCATTAAATCGAATGAAAAACCTTTACTTATCTTATAAATATCATAATCAATACAGTCGTCTTAAAGAGGTCGGTATTTATAAAATGTGTTAAGACAAGATTAATTGCTTGAATTATAAGACAGTAAACGAATAGCGCGAAAAAATGCACGCTGGATTAATTTACCGTATATAAGCAAGGGAAATTCGCTAAGTATAAATGCGCGACTAAACTGTGAGGCAATAAAGCCAAGAACCATCCAGCAATCGATTGCGATAAAAACAAAATAGTATAGTGGCTCGAAGAAAGAATGAGAATAGAGGAGAGGGAACGACCATAAAGGAAACTGCGTAATTAATGCCAGAAAGCGAGTGTCGTGATCGTTACGCACAGGTGAACTACTCGTGGATATGTAGAATCTGGTCATGCTGTGAGAGGGAGGGGGGGCGCAGCTAGGGAAGGCCACGGCGACCTCGACCTTGATGTCTCTTTCTCTATCAAGTCCCGCATATTTTTGGCAATGTCACCTCTGAGTTATAAAAACATTACTCACTACCGGTGTTTGAATAACAGTTTGAATGCGGCGAAAAATTGAGTGCTTGTCGGCAAAGTCGAGTCGCGCGAACAAAGGGGAACCTTTACACTCGTTTTCTCCGTATAGTTTGAAAATCGAAATTTCATTCATGATTGGTCACGCGATTAATATTAATGCTATGCTTACAAAATGTCGTTCCCCTTCAATTGGATCCGTCCGTTATGCATATCAATGCTACAACATACTAGGGCGGCGCGTCTACGTAATTAAGATTTTTCAGAAATGACAACAGTGTTCACCTCTACGTCATTGGTAGATCATTAGAAAAGTACGTCAATATAATAGGATAATACCTGCTCAATGTAAACAGAGCTTTCCCACAGCTCACGCTGCTCCTCACCATTAAGATTGTCAATATGGCTTTACGAGCGAAATGAAGCATAAGAGCAAACCAAGTAGAACAAGTGAGCAGGAGTCATTATGCAGCTTCGTAGAGCAATTTTACAAGACTCGGCCAGCCAAAGTAAAATTCTATCCAACGCTTTATTTTTTCTAGCGATTGTAAAGGAAACAGCGGTATATATATATATATATATATATATATATATATATATAGATAGATAGATAGATAGATAGATAGATAGATAGATAGATAAATAGAAATTTAAATAGTTGGAGACAGACAGAGTTCTCGTCAATTTTCACGGCGAAGGACAATCAGCGAGTACTCGTGCCCCGTACAATGACGCCCCGAGTAATTGAGGCAATATAACGTTTCGCCATCCCACTCTGCAAATTACTTTGACCTACAAGGTGAATGCTGAAGAAAGGGAGACTGACTGAGAGATAGCGAGCGAGAAAAATATTGTACTTGAGGTTCGATTAATTCTTTGGTTCGAACTTTAATGCGCCACTCACGATGAGGCGCAAATTGTTCATTAGATGACCAAAGATCTATACTTCTAAATTATTATCTCGCTTGTCAAATATTTTCAGCGGATACGTAAAAAAAAAAACAAAAACAAACAAACAAAAACAACTGCCAAATTACCGTAAAATGGCTCAGCTTCACGACTGCCTTTGATGGCGAACAGACAACTGAAATTATTCATGAAATTATAATTACTGGATTAATTTTATTACAATCTATATATATATATATATATATATATATATATATATATTTATTTATACGAATAAAAAAGAAAATAATAAAACAGGCATTTTTTTCTATTTTATACCAAGCGTATTATAGTTGAGTAATATTTACATGAAAGCGATATAAAAATGTATACGAGCGAACGCCCAGACTAAAAATAATTTATAGCCAAATCTATATCACGAAAACCGGTATTCCAGCTTCTTTATAAACTCCAATACCCAAGAGAAAGAGATGGAATATTATGTTTGACGGGATAATATGGAAACGGATCTATATAAATCGAAACATACAGAGAATTATTAATAACAAATTCAGGTGATATATTCTGGCCTTCGACAAAAAAAAAAAAACAAAAAACAAAAAACAACAAAAAAAACGCTCACTTTTTCCTCACTCGCGGTATCATCAGGCATTATTCATAATCGTATTAGGACTCGTGGAACATCATATCACACTGATTTTGGCTTCGGTAAATAACCGAGAAGCCTTTCGTCCTCTACTCTTTTTATTATTCCTATCCCTTGCCTTTCCTTAATTCCTATCATCGCGAATTTAAATATGCTGTTTATAAATCGTATGCCCTTATCCATAAATTAACGCAGTATTATTCTCTAATCGGGCGAAGATGTCGACGGTTATAGATGAAGAGGATATATACAATTCTACAAAAAGAAATGCCAAAGTAACGGTTGCGTCACCCACATTGGTGCACATGTACTTAAAAAACAGTTATGTCTCTCTCTCTCTCTCTCTCTCTCTCGGCTATTCGTCGGCGGATGTCGATGAGCGCACGAGTGTTGACTAGTCCGCTTATTTTGCAAAACGCCTGAAAATGCCGATCCATTAAGTATTTGCAAGATTTATTTTTTCGACCTCGTCCCTCCTTGAACCACCAGTTTTGTAATTGAAATTTTTTTTTTAAGAGCTTTTGCTAATTTTCTATTTCAGAAAATTGTCGTTGTCGTATAATTACTGGAGCATGCTTAATTCATTTTTATCGTTTCTATCAATTCAAAACAAATATACGTTTATCTCCCGTTAAATTTTATAAATTGATAGATCATTAAAAAGTCTATTTGATTTATATTTTATTTAAATTATATCATAAAAACCGAAATTTACATCCCAAATAATTATTAACACTTTAAAATATTATTGAATATAAATTTGAAATCTAAAATGCGAGCTTAAATTCAATTTTTAATTATATCTTTTCGCATTTACGTCAATTATCGCGGAAAAAAGTGCAACGTACGTACATGAATTTAATCTAATATACTATATATTAGTATTTAAATTCGAAAATTTAACACTTCGACGATGGTAACGTGACGGAAAAATTTATTCGAATAAAATAAATTAATGCTGAGTCTAATGGAATTAACTGCTCGCTACTTACAGATGCGCTGTACCGTTATTTTACCTCTTAAACTGTTGTCTATTGAATGAATGGATAGATGTCTGTTACTTCTTGAAAAGATCACACGTGTACATAACTTGTATTTAAGGAATAAATAAATGTCTATGTCAAAATAACAGATAGTTCTCTTCCGTAAATAAAATTTCTATAAATATATGTATTTATTATTATTATTATTTTTATTATTATTATTTTTTTTTTTTTTTTTTTTTTTTTTTTTTTTAATTATTATTAGATATTCGAGTTATTTGACGGACATATGCACGAATTTGTTTAATAAGTTTCTGTTACTGTGATGATGATAATCTAAAACGTTAATTCTGTATGCTTATGCACCCATCTAAATTTTACAATCTCGAAAGGTAACATTAATTAAAAAAGGAA